CGCTGATATAACGCAGTAGTGCACTGACTTTTACGAGCAGCGTTGCATCTTTGCAACTTAACCTCCTTGTATGTTTTGCGGAGCACACGCGTGTTTGGCTCATTTTCCTTTTCCAGTCGCCTGGCAATTCTTGTCCAAGAATGGGCTGGGGCTGCAGAAGCAGCGTATCTCAGTCGTTCTTCACACGGCCATCGCAGAGCAGCAGATTGTGAATGAGCTTGCCTGCGGCGAGGGCGGTCGAGTGCACGGAGCTAAGTGCCTCGCCGTCCTCGCAGGAGTCGCTTAGGCGGCTCCCGTGGTGTACCTAGTGCCAGTGCGCGCCAGTCCCGTGCCCAGTAAAAGAAAGAAAACAGACAACCCAAGGGAGGGATGGGAGGACGGCACGCCGTTCCCAGTAAGAAAGAAAGAAAGAAAACAGACAAGCAAGGGAGGGATGGGAGGACGGCACGCCGCCACCACACAGGGATTTTAAGGAGAGGAGTGTGGTGCTAGCCGTCGCCCACCCTAACCCTTGTGGTCGTCTGCCTCTTTCTATCTCCCTTCGCAGTCCCTGGCTCGCCGATTCTCGCTGCAACCTTCATGCCACGCCCAGTGTTGTGTGAGCTTGCAAAAATTCTCCTCACGGGACGTCCAGGAGCAGGCGCAGGGCTTGTGCTACATGCTCGCCGTTGTCCCGCGCCAGTCAGGAGCAGGAGGACCCTCACGGCCGGTGAGCGGTGTGGCAAGGCGTTCATCTCGCAGGGCTGCACCCTAACGTAGGACGGGTGCACCCCACCCTGCACGCCTCCTCCACCCACGCTGCCCCCTCCACCCCTGCGGCCACTGCGCCCGACGTGTGAGTGAGTGTCCGGAACGCGCTGCTTCTCTTTTTATTCGTGTTGTGTGTGGGCAGGGAGCGCGAAGCGCTGTCCCAGGCCAGAGATGAGATTGTGCACACACCCTTCTCAGTGTAGCTGCATGTGTACTTCGCACATGATTCGGCTCAATTGTGCGGTAGAGTTGTGTCACGACTTGGTCCAAATGGCATATCGCGTCTGGTACCGTGGTCCTGCTACCTCCACGCTCCACATGCACCTCTCGGTCCAGCCGGAGACCGGCACACGGGCCCCGCGGCCACCACTGAGGCATCTCCCTCCTACCTACGCTACCAGCACCTACGCTCGAGTACGAAGTACCTACGCTCTACTAAATGCCCTACTCCTCCTCTACTACCGTACGTATGGGGCGCCGAACGAGCCGCGGGGCCGCGGCGCGCGAGGTCTGCCGGAGCGAGCGGCGCCAGGCCATCGGCGAGGGGGGGGTGTGCGGCTTGGCCGCGCCGGGGGCGGCCTCGCACTCGGTCAAGCAGCTGAAGAGCGTGTTGCGGCGGCTCGTGTGGTAACCCGGGCACTCCGGGTAGCACATGTCGCCGCCCGAGCTCTGGATTCCCTCCTCCTGCGCAGAACGGAGGAGCCGGGTTGGGCGGGGGAGGGGGCAGGGGCAGGGGCAGAGAGGGAGGGAGTCTCACTAGGAGACGTCGGATTGGTGGTGGTGGTGGTGGTGTGACCGATGATTAGCAGCAGCTCGGCGACCGCAAAGCCGAGGATGGGGAGGCCGAGCCGGTCGAGCATGAGGGACGGCCGCGGCCATATGGAGAATCGCCACACCTGCGCAAGACCAGATGGTGTGACTGAGCTCCCACGGAGGCTGAGTGAGGGAGGAGGGAGGAGGGCTCGGAGGCGGCCGCGCACCCTCGCTACGTCCTGCAAGCCCACGCCAAAGCTAAAGGCCGCG